TATAGGAATCTAAAAAGGCCCATGAGAAATATAGAATTGAAATGGTCAAGTCAATATTAACAGTTAATAGATCCAATTATTTAATAAGATTATATGAGGCATGTAGTCCAACTACATGACAAAAACACAATTGTGATGGCAACTTCAACAAGTTATATCCCAATGCAAGCTGTAAATTTTCATGGAAAATAATAATCAAAAGCAAAATAACTTGCATAAAGGCACTCATCACTTAGCCTCAATAGTTTTCTCTCGAGCAACAGTCATTTTATAAACTGAATATTGCACAGTTTTAAATATGGTTATGGAAATACCAAAGCTGGTGTTAAGGAAAAACATTCAAAGTGTGCTTTTTCTTCTACTCTCACACCACAACAGCGATCATCAACACAGAAGACTTCTGTGAACTCAAAATATGTGGGAACTTCTCCCCACCAGCAAGCAAGCAATCTACTCTGCTGCGGACACCAGCTGGGTGTGCTCTCATTGATTTCCAACACTGTCTACGCGGAGATAGCATCAGATCCCACAGGTGGAGGGCTCAGTCCCTGAGACTCCCCCCACATTCAGACACCAGTCACAAGTCCAGGCCTCTGGAACTTCTGACCAGCCACCTTCAAGTTGGGGTTCCCACAACCCCCTATTTGGGTTCCACTAATTTGCTGGAGTGGTTCCCAGAACTCTGGGAAACACGTTTATGATAAAGGATACATCTGAAGAGGTGTGTAGGGCTGGGTGTGGGGGAAGGGATGTGGAACTTCCATGCCCTCTTTGGGCCCACCACTCCCCAGGAACCTCCACACGCTCAGCTATATGGAAGCTCTCTGAACGCTGTTCTTTGGGGTTTTATGGAGGCTTCATTACATAAGCAGGATTGAAAACCATGCAGAAATGCGATTGGATAAAAAGGGTATAATCTTATACAAATAGACTGAGTAGGGAAACCCAGCAAGGCCTGTCTGTTCAGATTCTTCCTGGCCTCTCTGTAGCATTTCTGCGTCCAGGGTGTGGGGCAGGACTCGCTCTGGAATGAGGTCTTTTGACTCACATTCAGATTAAGAGTCCTACCTTGGGCAGGTAAAAGGAGGACAGGAGAAAGAGGGAGAAATTCTGTTTCCTGAGGCCTAAAGTGCCCCAACATTACAACCAAAGACTGTAGCAAGGGCTATGGGAGTCATGAACCAAGAACTGTGGATGAAAACACACCTAGATGTGTCATAATATCACAGCTGTAGCCTTAAATCTCCACAAGATTGTATTTCAGGCCTCCGGCCTCAACTTGCAGTCGTTCCCACTGAAACAATATCCAGTTTTTTCCAGGAGACTGAGTCTACGGCAAAGTCCTGATCTTCTAGTCCCTGACCATCCCTGCTCCTTTGGAACATAGCTTTCAGAGGTGAACACGCCCTGCCGTGACCCTACAGCCACAGACTTTGGAGCTCATGCTCCCACCTCATCCTCCACAGCCGGTCAGTTCCACCAGGTTGTATCTTACGAGAATGTTTCTGTCCCATGGATTCTTTGCTGACAAAAGCTTTCTTGACACTGGTACACTTGTTCTTAACCAGAGCATGACATACATTAAACAGAGTAACCTATCCTGCCTCCTCCCTTCAACCACTGTCTTTTAATCTGCATGAACACTGAGTTGAATTGAATTTCGATAAACCTTGGTTCATTAAAATTAAGTAAAGATAGTGAAAGTATCATTTGATGAAGGGTATAACAAAACAAGTACCTGATATTTAAAAATGGATCTAGTTTGTTTTACTGAATTAACATAGTCAAATAAAGTGACACGTCAAGGAATCAATAATGAAACATCTTAAAATACAAATAAATTACATTCCTTACCATTGAATATTATCCAGAATATTCCCCTCTCTCTTTCCTTTCTTTCTCCACATCTGCCTTGATATCTCCTGTACTAGAATGAGTCAAAAAGAAGACGTGAATTCTGATGAGAAAAAGAAAATTTGTATTTCTCTGAGTTTAATATTTAAACTTTATTTCTAAAACTGGAATTCGAATTGCTTGGTCCTTTCTAGCCTTCATTCAAGACTCTTCAGCATTTTATGTGCAGGTAATTTTGCATATAGTGCGTCAATAACAGTTTTTGACAGACAAAAATAATCTTTGGTACAGGATCCTAAGGAAAAAAACCCAGTATTCTTATGAATTGCTTGATTTACTGTGTAGATTTACAAAGAAACCAGGATAGGGACAATGTTCCTTGAATTTACTTTATGTGAAAATAGTCCCTGAGGTTCACTTGCCATCTGTCAGGAAACAATGACAACATTAGACTTTGAAATATTTTTTACAAGCAGAAGTAAATCACTCATTCTTTTCTATAAACATTCTATTCCTAATAGGCATCAATGTTTGCTTATTCTTGAGTATAAAACATAGCTATGTTAGTAGAGACTTGCCTTCCACATACTTTAAAAAAGTTTAATATCCTTATTAAGGTATAATTTATGAATAATTTATTCACCATAAAATTCACCAATTATAGGTATGACAGTCAGTGATTTTTATTAAATTTATACAGATGTGCAACCACTACCACAATGCAATTTTAGCACATTTATATCAGCCCAAGCTGTTCCTTTATGCCCACTTACAGTCAATCCTGCTACCCCTTCTGGCTTCAGGTAACTGCTGATCTGCTTTCTGTCTCTGTAAATTTACCTTTGCTAGAAATTTCGTATAAACAAATACATACAATATGGTGTTCTTTTTTTAGATCTGGCTTCTTTCACTTGGAATAATATTGTTCGGGTTCATACATGTTATTGCATGTATCAGTAGTTCGTTCTTCTTTATTGCTAAATAATATTGCTTTATATGACTATACCATATTTTGTGGATTTATTCACTAGTCAATAGGCATCAGGATTTGTTCTAGGTTTGGGCTATTAAAAATGATGTTGCTAGGACATTTGCATATATGCCTTTGTGTGTTCTTATGTTCTCATTTCTCTTGGGTAGGTAGGCGAGGCATTGCTTCATTATATGGTTAAATACAAATTTAACGTTTAAAAAATTGCCAACATGTTTTCCAAAGTTGTTATAGCCTTTTGCATTTCGACCAGAGAGAATTATGAGGGTTCAAGTTTCTCTATATTTGCATCAACATTTAGTGTTTTCAATATTTTGGGTTATAACCATTCCAGTGGTATCTTAGTATAATTTTAATTTGCATTTTTAAATGATTAATAATGTTAAACATCTGCTCAGATGTTTATTAGGTTTTCCTATATCTTCTTTAGTAAATGTCTTTAAAAATATTTTGACCATGTTTAAATTGTTTATCTTCTTATTATTGAGTTGTAATAGTTCTTTTACATTCTGAATACAAGTTCTAAATCAGATGTATAATTTACAAATATGATATCAAGTGTATGTTTTGTCTTTTAATTTTTTTAATTATATCTTTGGAAGAGCAAAATTTTTAATTTAGATGCAATTTAATTTAGCAATTTTTTTAATGGAATTTGGGGTGTCATAACTAAGGTATCTTACCCAAACCTACGGTTATGATATTTTCTCTTAGGTTTTCTTCTAGGAAGTTTTATAGTTTTAGCTCTTACATGTAAGTTTATAATCTATTTTGAATTACTATCTGTGTACAATGTGGGGTAAGGGTCTCACGAATTTTTTTTTGGCTTATGAATATCCAATTTTCCCCACATCATTTGTTGAAAACACTGTCCTTTTGTTATTGGATTACTTTTGTGCCCTTGTCAAAAAAAAAAAAAAAAATCAGTAAGTATAAGGGCTTATTTCTAAATTCTCTATTCTCACATACTTTTAATTTTAAAATTTCCGAAGCATTTGGAATAGATAGAAGAGACACAGAAACATGATAAATAGATCATTGGTGCCTAATGATAGACAGTTTTCAAATTACCATTTTACCACTGCTCATATCAATTTTTTTCTCTTAAGATGACATTTTTTTCCTTAGCTACCTACTTTGTTTAATGTCAATTCTCCGTCATGAGAAACATGACAAACGGTTACGAAAGAGTGATCTGGAAAACCTGTCTTGGGAGAATGGAAAGGTATGAGTCAGCAAAGTCAAGAGTTTAGAAATCAAAACCCCCAAATAATCTGGAACCTCTTGACACAGACTATTGCCATTGCCCTCATTAGCAACTTTTCACCGACTAGGATCACTTTTAGATGATCTATTAATACTTGTGTATTCTTTAATGACTAATATGCCAACATGGGACCTGAAGCTTTTCTCTCAGCAGGAAAAGATGCTGTCACATCTGGAAACAAGAGTTTGCCTCTCAATTTACTTTATTCCCCACATTCTTCATTATTTTCCTATGGTATTACTTCAAAGATGTATAATGGTCATTGCATTTCACCTGTAGCAATTCCAAAAAATAGCCACCGGGAGGCTATTTTTGTTCACATTTTTAAAACGATTTTTCTCAAGAATCTTAGTACCTATAAATCTTTATTATTTTTCAGTTATAAGGTCTACTTTGCTTTGAGGCTTCCCTTCTGTCAATTTAGAATTTCTACCTAAAAATACTTTAAGGAAAAATACTTTAGTTCGTATTATTATCATTTATGTTTTTATATTTACATAATTACTTTAAAGTACTCAAAAATGTGCCACTGGAATTTATTTACTCCCATGATTTTGCATTTTTTATTTAGTCTAAGCTGAGCACTTAACACCAGCATAGGATTCGTTTATATTAAAGTGGTGTCAGGAAATTGGCAACGTGTGTCCAGTCTGTGCGCTTCTGGTGGACCCGCTGTGAGAGAGCGAATGAAGCCGAAGGCCAGGGGTGAAGGTGAAACAGCAGCAGCCCAACAACTTAACCCAATCAGCAGACTTTTCTAACTGATGGATGCCAACAGTATTTACAGCATCTCTAACTGGAAAGAAGGAGATGGAAGAAAGGAAGGAAGGAAGGAAGGAGGGGAGGGAGGAAGGAAAGAATGAAAGAGACAGAAAGAACGAAATTCTAACAAATTCCTGATAGCTTTTTTTTTAGACCACAAACCAGATGGAACAGTTGAATTGGGGGGCGTAAATAATTTTCCAGAGATTGAAGATATACATGAGGCTCAATTTCAGGATATTCTGAAGTCAATAGGTCAGAGCCAAATAATGAGTACAAAGGAGAGGTTGCCCAGAGCCAACGTGTCTGAAAAATTGTCTCCATAAACCCTTGCTTGAAGGCGTGCTGAACTGGCCGCGCCTAGCCCTTGGTGCTGGAGCTAGGATGATGCAGCATCTAAACAGCATCTTACAGAGGTCTTCATTTGACACAATAGCTCTTTCAGAGCACTCTATAGTATAGCGCTAATATCCCTAGAAGTTCTGCTAATATTTCCTTCCCTTTCAAAGTTCACAGCCCAAAAACTATGAAGAGTTTTTATTTCAATCTGAGCAAGGGGAGAAGGGGAACCCACAGCCATGTTGAAAGCAGAACTGTTTCTGGACAGCCTTGGAAGTGAACGGGGCTCTTGATTTTAGACAGGACTCTTCAGGGTCCTTTTCAGAAATCCATTAAGCATCAGGCACTGTAAGTGACATGTGGACGCTATCACATTTGTTTTATCCACCACTGTGTGCCCTGTGCTTGGCAGAGCCTGTTCCATAGTAAGCAGGCACAGAATGTTTTTGAATGAAAAATCGAATCGGGTGACTGGATTTTTCCTCCATTCAAAACAACCTTCCCCATTTATAAAACACGTAGTTTACCAAGTGCAAGGAAATAGGAAACCTTGTGATAAGGATTGGGGATACTGAGGTGATGATGAAGTTCCTGCCATTATAAGGTTACACATCTAGGCACAGCTAAGAGTTATGTGACCACTCAAATTACATTCCAATTCTCAAAATGAATTTAAGGGTTCCCCAAAATAGTCTCATAAGCTGGAAAGACACCTCTCAGGCAGGAACCAATCCCAAATATAGCCATTTGGGCATACGAGATAATTGGGTCTCTCTTTCCTATTAGGAAATTTAAAACTGTCCAGGCAGAAACATGTTTGATACAGATGCAGTCTCGCAGACATCCTGAGATTTAACCTAGATAGCTGGGAACCAGACAAACATTCTCAATTTTCCTATGATTACTACAGTTTTTTCTTTGGCAAATCTTAGAATAATGTCACAATTGAGCAAAAGCAGCCCAGTAGAATGCTGGTTTATGTTTCTAACACTTCAGCCCTAATATTCACAAGAACAAAGTTTGTATTCCACAAGGAAAGAGTGACTGCTCTATTAAACTGCATCGATATATAATATAGACTAAGTGGAAACAGAACCATTTGACGGGATTTTTATATTCCAAATCTTCTTGGGACTGTAGATAACTCTTTTCAAGTTAGCTGTCAAATTGCCTTCTTTTAAAATAAGAAAGACCATAAAGAGATAACTGGAATTTTGCCTGGATTCCATGCTAATAAAGGTAGACTTGGACAGATATCAGAAAATATTTAGAAATGCCAGGACTGAAAAGATGACTGCATAATCAATTATTTGATCGTAATGTACAACAGCCTAATGGAAAGAAATATTAATAACTATTTTAAAAGTTCTGTGTTAAACACCACGCCATTTTTTCTTAACTTATTAACCCAAGTATCATTTATAGTTACACTGAATCGCTATAATAAAATAAATAAAAAATATTATGTGGCATTTTATCACAACTCAATAAATACTGTGGGATTTCATTGCCAAGTTTTAGTTTGGGTGCACTGTTGACTACTTGTGAGTGTGGTGAGAACTATAGCATGTCTAGAGTATATGGACAACTAAGGGGTCTGTGGTCGCCCACTGTGGCTTTGAATGAAGCAACAAACGCAGAATAATTCAAGTATTGATTACGTGATGCTTATTTAAGTCCCCCATAGTTGTTATGGGCCGGACTTTTAGGAGCCACATATTAAATTAAGATATCTAAATATTAAATAAAGAAATAAATATAGCAGAGCACATTACAGTTAGCCCTCCATATTTGTGGGTTCTGCCTCTGTAGATTCAATCAAATGCAGATCAAAAATATGTGGGAATAGGACGGGCGCGGTGGCTCGTAATCCTAGCTCTCTGGGAGGCCGAGACGGGCAGATTGTTTGAGCTCAGGAGTTCAAAACCAGCCTGAGCAAGAGCGAGACCCTGTCTCTACTAAAAATAGAAAGAAATTAATTGGACAACTAAAAATATATAGAAAAAATTAGCTGGGCATGGTGGCGCATGCCTGTAATCCCAGCTACTCAGGAGGCTGAGGCAGGAGGATCGCTTGAGCCCAGGAGTTTGAGGCTGCTGTGAGCGAGGATGACGCCACGGCACTCTAGCCTCACGGCAACACAAGTGAGACTCTGTCTCAAAAAAAAAAAAAAAAATATGTGGGAATAAATTGCATCTGTACTGAACATGTACTGACATTTTTTCTTGTCATTATTCCCTAAACAATACAGTATAACAACTATTTACATAGCATTTGCATTGATTAGGTCATTAAATATGAAATGTCCAATTTCAAATTGAAAGTTTAATTTATTATATCTCAAACAAGAAGCGGTACAATTAATCTAAATATGTGCCCAAACTATCAACACAGTTTTGCCATCTTAATGGTAGCTTTTTTACGCCAGCGGCAAAGAAGCCTGGAGAGTGAGTGGCAATGAAATTGCAAAAGACATTTCCCACAGCTTGTTGAGAATTGAACATTTTTCCTTGCAAGAAGTGATCCAAAGCCCGGAAAAAGTGGTAATCAGATGGTGCAAAGTCTGGTGAATATAGTGGATGACAGAGAATTTCTAAATCCAGCTGCTATTTTTTGTGTGACATGTGGTCCAGCGTTGTCTTGCAAGAGGATTGGCCTGTCTCTATTGACATCTCTGCTGCTTAATCGCAAGCATCCTCAACATTTTGTCCATCTGGTTGCAGTAGACATCCGCTGTAATTGATTGACCAGGTTTCATGAAGCTGTAGTGGATAATACCAGCACTGGACCACCAAACAGACACTATTAGCTTTTTTTGATGAATATTTGGTTTTGGACTGTGTTTCGTCACTGTCTTTATCCAACCATTGTGCCGAATGCTTGTGATTGTCAAAAAGAATCCATTTTTCATCACTTGTAACAATACAGTGTAGAAATGGTTTGCCTTTATGTCGTGACAGCAAAGGAAAGGAAGCTTTGAGACGATTTCCCTTCTGACGTTTGTTTAATTCATGCAGCACCCATCTATCCAGCTTCTTTACCTTGCCCATGTGTTTCTAATGGTCCAGTATTGTTGGAATAGTGACGTCAAACCTTGCTGCTAATTCACACGTAAGTTGAGATGGACTTGCTTCCACTACAGGTTTCAGCTCATCATTGTCCACTTTGGTCTGAGGTCGCCCATGTGGCTCATTTTCAAGATTAAAATCACCAGAATGGAACTTCTGGAACCATCAACATACTGTGTGTTCATTAGCCACATCCTTCCCAAGCCCTTCATTAATAGTTCAAGCTGTCTGTGCTGTATTGGTTTAACGACAGAACTCATATTCGAAAATAACACGAATGTTTGACTTATCCATAGTCTCACAAAAATTGCTCTAAAAAAAATTTTAAATATAATTGCAAGCCAAACCATGCATTTGAAAGATTGAGGTTGTACCTTCCCAATAAAAACAAAACGAGAAGCGTCAAAGGGAAATGTCAGAGATACCAACTGTCAAACTTAGTATTTAAGGAAATTGGACGTTTCATCCTTAATAGCCCAATAGTAGGTGTTATACATAATCTAGAGATGATTTAAAGCACATGGGAGGATGTACATACCTTATATGCAAATAGTACACCATTTGATACCAGGGACTTGAGCACCCATGATTTTGATGTCTACAAGGGGTCTTGGAATCAATGCCCCACAGATACCAAAGGATGACTGTACTTGACCAGAGAGTAGGTCTCAAAAAGTACTTGAGAATTCAAAGAGAATTCTTAAATTAGGCAAGACATCGTTTGATGTTGGCACTCCATCTAACCCAGCAGTAGTTATAGAAGAAGACTTTCTGCAAAGAGGTGCCACGTATCTTATCGATGTCACCCACAAAAGTGCCTAGTCCAGCTCTCAAGAGCTGCTTGCTTTTAGCCTGCTCATTATTGGTAGTGTCTGGAAAGAATCTATTGTTCACAAGGTTGCCTGTGTTCTTCCTTAATTGCCTATTCACTCGTTGGGTTGGAAGCCACATTTTAAGACAAAAAAAAAAAAAAAGTTTTTTTCAGTAAAAACTAAAGCATCTTTAAAGTTTCCACTTTAGAAAGTTTTTAAAATCATGTTTACGTAGTGACAGCAACTCTTCCATTCAGTAGCTACAGGGTACAGGATTCCCTGCTAATTTCTTTTCAAAACAAAGTCAGAAAGAGTTCAAGTGGTTAAACAGGTAGGCAGCTTACAAGTTTGAATCAAATGCGTTAACTGATAGGAAAAAATGATTAATGCCAGGCAAACTTTCAAAACAGGTTAAGCAGTCAAGTGTGACAATGTCCTTGCATTATTTTCTATCCACTACACTGACACAGAACAGTGAGGGATAGACAAGCACAGTGGGAAGTCCACGACTTTAGTATCAAACAAAATTGGGTTCAAATTCTAGACCCATTTGTTGGTGAACTTGAGTAAATTATTTAACCACGCTGAGCTTCGGCGTGATTAAATAATTAAAAATATTTTAAAAATTAAAAATATATACAAAATAAAAATAATAATACAGTGTAGCACGTTTGTGAGGATTAAATCAATAAATATATAACTAACATATTAGTTGCACTAAAGTGTAACTATTATTATATGTTTTCATTTTGATTAAATTACCATGTGTTTTAAGTTTATAATCAGCACCACAATATATTTTTGAAGTATGCAATATTTTTAAAAGCAATAAAGTTATTTTAATATTCTATGTAAAATATACCACATATATAAAAGCCAAGATTGTTAGATAATATTATGATGTATAAATATATACACACACATATTCATATATATATATTAAATATATACATGTGTATGCAAGCATGAGTAGTTATTTTTTACAGAAATCTACGCTATTTTTGAACTGACAGTATGAAGACAAGTGAAGCATTCAAATGACACCATAAAAAAACTTTTCATAGCACATTGTATTCAACTTGGCCAGTCAATTAAATTATCTATGACCTCTAAACTTACTACAGTTCTTGTAAAAAGATTTTTGGTGGTAGATTGCAAGATCATTCTAAGATTACATTCAAAAGTAGATATGCCATCCAAGAAAGTATGTGCTTTCTGCACAATATCCTTTGGAATGACTTTATGGAGTGAAGTTTTAAAATCATTTTTAAAAAACAAAAATAAAGAATGCTATTTCATTTGCAGACATATTTTTATATATATGAAGTGTTTCTGCTTACAATTTCTTCAAACTTTGAAAGCGTCCATGGTACCATTTCATGAAACATTAATTCAATTCATTCTTACCTTTGTTATACAATGAAATCCATGAAACATTGTGTGTTTCATGCTTTGTCTTAGCTTGCATGAAGTTTACAATCAAGTTTTGTATATAATTGCAGTAATTTACTTAACACAATTTTTTCTATTAGTGGGAAGAAGGAAAGATTAATTAAACTTTATGCTTTTATTTTATGTATAGAAGTTTATCATATCTGTGATTTTATATTTCTTCACATAATTTTTTAATGGCAAAATGTATAAACTAATTAATATGTGCATGCTGTACCAGCCCATATAAGTGAAGTAAAAGCTATTTACTGACTTGTCATTCACTGATCTGCTCCATTTATTTCTTCTGGTAGTGGTGTACAACCTAGCTGAAACATCCAAAATGTTTAGCCCTCTTTCCCAATACATCTGTCGTACAAATTGCCTGAGCCATGGGACAGTCTGAAACCACAGAACAGAATTAAGGAATCATAAGAATCTATGAGTGATCAACTTGTGAATCTGCTATCCAATGTTCTGACTACTTTTACTGAAGCCATCTAATGGGGCTCTAGGCATTTTTGGTGGAAAATAAGGGGAGAACAGTCAGCCCTCCATATCTTGTGGTCCTTCACTCACGATTCAACCAACCCCAGATGGAAAATATTTGGAAAAAAAATAACAATACAACAATAAAAAATAATACAAATAAAAAAGCAATACAGTATAACAACTATTTACACAGTATTTACTTGTATTAAGTATTATAAATAATCTAAAGATGACAAAGTATACAGGAGGGTGTGACTAGATTATATGCAAATACTGCACCATTTTGTTTGTATATATATATATATATACATGTATTTTTAGTACCCTCATCTTTATTTCAGGAAGGCGAGAAGGGAAGTCCTGGGTCACCCGCCCCCCCCGACTTGTCACAGCTAGGCTTGCCCCCCCTCTTTCCCGGGCGAGGGGAGAGGACCGGGTGGGCATGGGGGTGTCTGGAACTAGCGGAGGCGGTGAGCGGGGCAGCAGGTGGAGGTGGGAGCAGGTCTGGGACCCAGGGGGAGACTCTGGGTGCCCAGGACGGGGAGGGGGCAGCTAGCATTGTGTTTGCATGCAGTGCCAGGGCAGGAGCTGTGACCTCTGCCCCGAGGGGCCCAGTGAGCAGACTATCGGTTACACGTGTTGGCACAGGGGAAGTGCCGGGGGTGTTGGACTTCTTTAGGTTTTGCTCCTTTCTGACCTGGTCTCCCTGTGCCCCTCCAGGCCTTAGCTTGCCCCATCTATGTCACGAGCAGGTACCCATTCACCTATTCGGGCTGCAGGGGAGGAGGAGGGGGGAGGCCGGGACTTGGGGGACAGGAACAAAGCTAGAGCAGGGCCAGGGCCCCAGCGGGCGGCCACGATAAATACTACGGAGCTGAGCCAATCCCGAGCTGTACTGTGTCTCGCGCTAAACATGCCTTTCCCTCCGTGCCTCGGTGTCCCCTCTGTCCCCCCCACCTCCTCGACCCTCCCCATCCCTGCGCCTGCTAATCCGACTTCTCGTCATTTGTTTATTTTTGTAGAAAGGGGATCTCACTATGTTGCCCAGGCTGGCCCTGAACTCCTGGGCTCAAGCGATCCTCCCAGTTCAGCCTTCAGAGTATCTGGGACTACAGGCATGCACCACTATTTGGTGCTTACTATTGTTTTATATAAAGGACTTAAGCATCCACAGATTTCCTTATCTTCGGGGGTTCCTGGAACCAATCTCCCCTGGGATAGTGGGGCATGACTATAGTAGTATTTCATGCTAAAGAGTCTAGATATTGCCTACTTTATTTTCTCCAAATAAAATAAAGGTGGCATGGATAACATAATTCACAGACATTTTCAAAGTTATGATTAAATGCCTTAACATAGATTTTGAATAACTAGAAAAGTTACGACATATTTGTTTTAGTTGCATAGAAGTTAAAACTGCAAACTTTCAAGTCCTTAAGAATTCATATCAAAGAAGATTCATGAGTAAAGGCATTGAGTAGGCCATCTTGCCCTTTGATGATTTGTATTCATTTTAAACCTGGAGACATCCTTGTCTATTAAATAAACAGAGAATGCCATTGTTCTCCAAGAAAAATGTCAGCTCGAATTATTCCATTGTATCCACGATACACAGAGAACTATGAAGTCAAAACACAATCCACAAAAAGAAAGTTAGAAGTGTTGGAGTTCTTTATGAAATAAACTAAGAGACATAGTTATGTACAAAAGAAAATTAAGGCAAATCGTTCATGAGAACTCAAAATGAAGGCATTTTTAAAAAATAATGAAAACTCAAGACTTTCTTGTCTGCAGCCAGGTTTCATCAGCAACTGCCATTAGCTAACATTGCCTTTGAGTAGACATTCATATAATATTATAGAAACCCAAGTCCGAAAGTATGTATCTACCCAAATATTGAAAGGCAAAATACAATGAGCAAACTGCTGAATGCACCAAGTTTCTATGTGAATAAAGTTTAATCCTTATAAGCTTACTGTTGGAAAAAAAGAAACCCACCAAACTATGTCATTAGAAATTTAATTTACACACAGCAACTCACCACCATATTTTATTTTTCTTGTTTCATTTATGTTTTTCATTCTGCAAAATCCAATCCAGATACTTTTACATGTATCACATTTTCAAGGAAAAATAAATATTATAAGTAAAATAGGCATTTCTGCTACTAACAGTTAAGATTTATAATATTTATAGACAGACTACAAACTGAAATTCCATCATTTTCCTTCTTTGTATTATAGAAAAGAAAACCTTTTTGACAAACCTTTATCACAATTATAATAATTGAAAACACACTGCACATAGATTTCCATGTGAACTTCTATAGTCTGTGCACATCTATTTCTTTGTAATGCTTCATACGCTTTCAAAAAGAAATACAAACCATTCAATATTGTGGGTCTGTTTGAATGCTCAAAATTGTATTGCAGAACTTGAGAAAATGTACCACCTATAGAAAAGAGCCGAGGGGCCATGTGTGGTGTTGCTCTGAAATCATCCAGAACAATACACAACAAATGACAGGAACACTGCAGCGGCGACCAACGGAAACATTCATGTGTTGTGTATAGGTCACATTGTTTTCCGACTAAAAGTCTTTCAAAAGAAAATGCATTAACATTTGTGACAATGAATCAGTAAAATAAGCCATTTGATTTTCTGCATTGTGAATTCGCTTCAGGCTGCAAAATTAGACAATGTCTTTTGTTAAAACATAGAGCTTTTATTTGGCGGGCCGTGGCGGTGGTTCATGCCTGTAATCCCAGCACTTTGGGAGGCTGAGGTGGGAGGATTGCTTAAGCCCAGGAGTTCAAGATCAGCCTGGGCACCATAAGGAGATCCTGTCCCTACAATTAAAAAAAAAAAAAAAATTAGCTGGGTATAGCCTCAGCTACTTGGGAGGCTGAGGCAGGAGGATCACTTGAACCTAGGAGCTGGAGGCTTCAGTGAGTTATGATCATGCCACTACACTCCAGCCTGCATGACACAGCAAGACCTGGTCTCTTAAAAAAAAAAA